AAAAAGTTCCCCTACAGATCAATCTTCAGATCATGTTAGAAGTCTAGCTTCCTTGGGAAAAAAAGTGATCTTAACAGACAGCAAGATTCTTACAAGGGGTTTCCTATATCAAGCTGCACTCCCATCCAATACAAAACTGGAGCCTAGAAAACAGCTCTGTATAATCCTGGTACCCTTTTACTGCAAACGAAAGATCCTCAACACATTTGGCAATTGCTTGTATCTTTTACATACAAAAAAGTAAAGACAGAAATGGTAAAGCAATGTGTAGCTATAAAATTTATGAAACTGTTGGACTGAAGAGCACACCACAGATGTCAAGGAATAGCACTCTACAAGTTTCAAATGTAAAATTATATCAGAAGGAAAAACTGACATTGCCTATTCTTAGATCTTCTGATTTTCTTGTTTGCAGTGAACATAAAATTTCTCATTTTAAGATGGAAAGTAAAATAAAGCTGGAGTACTATTCTTAATACTCATCTGTAAGAATTCAACATACAAAAGCTGGTGTTAGTATATAAAGTTTTTTCTCCTCTGTATTTACACTCACTTTGATAGAAGTTAGAAGTTGTGAAATTTCGTTGTTTTTTTTTTTTTTATTTGGACTTCAGCTTACTAAGTTATCTTGGTCATCCAATAGTCAAGGACAAGTCTTCAAAAAGTTACTGATGTGAACAAGGAACTCCCTGTTCTCTGTATGAAGTGACAGCTCTGATTGTTGTAACAAGGCTAAGCTTAAGTTTTCTTTTTCCTTTCAAATGACATAAGTCACAGAATGATGGAGAAGTTCAGGTTCCCTATGCAAGTACTGTTACTGGATAGCCTCAGAAAAGAAGCATTTAGCCAAAGCAAAACCAGACAAATTAACCCTTACTCTTCTCACAGGATAGAGAAACTGCTCCTTTGCATATACACATGCAGCAGAGGAAACAGTTCCAGTCCAGACAGCACTCATTTAACATTGTTGTAGCTAAGCATTTGAGTCTTATTCTATTGCTGCATGACCCAAGTGGCTAACACTAAGACTGCTGTGAAATAGGCAAGTAACATACCGTAGCTTGCAAGAAAATTTTAGTGCAAAGCACAGGATATACAGAGTATCATATTAACTACTTTTACAGCTGCTTACAAGATGTCAGAGATTAAATCTCCAAAAGCTGTTTATACAAGAGATCCAAAGTCAGAACAAATGACTGAACAAAACAGCTATGATTTATGAAGGCTGCCATTATAATTTATCAGCAAGATATTTTGGTTTCACATTATTTAAATTTTTTGTTTGAGAAAACTACTCAACAATAAAAAGGACATTAGAAGTTGCTTTGATAAAAGTGTGTGAAAGCCAAGTTAACCAGTCAAGTGTAGATCTCAACCCAGATCTGTTTACTGAAAGGTGAAACATGAAAGACACTATTCTTAGAGAATAAAAAGCTTCTTACTAGTGCCGAACTCATTAACTGAGGTCTTGCCAAGGCAAGGCTTGTCTATTTGCCAAATGACAGTCTTCATCAAGCTGGATTATTTCTCATTAACTCCACTTTCTTCAAGTAACAGTTACCTGCACTACATTACCGTGGATGATTGTGTTCCCTTGTAAGCAGCAGTGCCACAGACCCTCTCAGGTGGAACCTCAGGGAGTTTCAGCAAGACTCTGACAAAATCTTACAGAAATAGAACTATCAAAAGAGATTTCAGAATTGTATCATTTCATTCAAGTTTCTTACTCTCTTAACGTTTGGCATTTACAATGGCATTTACATACCATTTCCCTGACATAATAGGTTCAAGGTTAAATTGCAGCACATTTAACTAAAATAGTGACAGTTCTAGTAGTGAGCTCCTAGTCAGCTAGCGTTGGAGATTGTTCTTAAAAGCATTTAAGCCTCCCTTATTACCTTTTTAAAATGTGAATGTTTAAATAAGACAATGTTATGAATTCACTAATACAGCTGAAAACTTCAAGTGAAAACTGAAGGCTGAAGTGTTCAAGATTACATAACCACTGTGTATAATTTAGTGATAAATCACACGACAAGCTGCAAGAGCAAGTCAGCACTTATCAGACCAAAACTTCCAAAACTATCAGATCTAGCACTACAGTTGGTTCGTATAATAAACAGGGTATACTACTAATGTACACTATTGCTTCCTTATGTCTGTTGAAGAGTAGGGAGAAAAAAAAAGAAAGGGGAGCAAGGCAGTGAGTTTTTAAGTACTATGTGATCCACTAAGAGGCTCTCTGTAATCAGACAACTCCAAACCTACATATTCATGAGGTTTTCAGATCAGATATTGCTTCAATGAAGCAAACTGACACCTCTGTAAAGTCAGCTAAATAAAATTCTGTAACAAGCTAACAGAGTAACAGCCCAAAGAAAAGCAGTTTCCTTCCAAGCACAATGAAGTATCTTTGTCTTGTCACTAGAGTGATGCATCTAAACAAAGTCAAGTCAATAAACAGCTGCATTAACAAAATTACTTACATTCCTCACAGGTGCTGAGGATTTCCTGCCTGAGTAGACACCCCCTATCCTCCTCATTGGCACACTCTGAACAACTCATTTGATTAAAAGCAGAAATAGCCATGAAATTCTGATGGCAAGAACACAGGTAGGTCATCTTGAATGAAGAGTTTGCAAACCACTGGTCCAAGCTACAGCCTCCAAAACTCACTCCTAAATATTTATTTTGCTATCAGGTAACAAACACTTCTAATCACTTCCTCAGAAAGACAAGTGTGTTTTTGAGAAAACGAGCAGCAGAAGATCTGATCTGGTATCAGGCCCCTCACTTTGTGTGCAGCCCGTGAAACACAACAGAGTGATGTCAAGCTTGCTGATGAGCGTAAGGGAAGTTAGAGCAAAATTAGCATTTCCCTAAGAACTGAGAGTCTTGGATTCTATTCCTCAATTTGCCTCTAGCTTTACAAATTCAGAAAGATATTAAAAAAATATATAGAATGGTAACCCTACTGACACCTGCTTTTACTTCCCTGAGACTGTATCAACTTCCTTGGATATGAGAGGGAAAAGAGAGCTAAAAAAAAAACAACAAAAAAACCATGGGCTTACTACCAAATATTGCACACACTGATAGTGATGGTTGCTGCAATACAAACATCAGGAGAAAGTTTAGTAATGTTATGCAAGAGAGTTAGGTTATTACACAAAACTCATTCATACCACCTGGTAACTGTCACTTAATTTCTACTTCATATCACATTTCAGTATTTTGAGAGCATAAAAGGGAGCACTATGGTTACTGTTAGATATCAGATATAGGCTGATACCTTTAAAACAGGCCAAACAGATTAGGAAGCATCAATTCAGAAAATACACCATGAGTTACAGTTTAGATGTGCCCTAGAAGGTAAAGGAAACTGCTTCCATCCATTATCTGGTAATTATCCCTGGTATCAGGTTACACCCTGGTATGTAGTTAACAGGTAAATGAATTAAGGAGTACACCTACTGCATTTCCCTTACATGTTAAAGAAAATTACTGGTTTTCTCCCCTCAAATTTCTCAGTTTTTTTTTTTTTTTTAAATACAACACTGTCCTCACACAAAATACCCCAGTTACAGTCCTTGGTTAATACAGTCATCTGCAACTAACAATACAGAACTGCTCCCCCTTCCACTCTCAGCATCAAACTCCACATAAGATTCCTTCACCCCTCCTAGGAGCATACTAAGAATTAAACCCAAAATACCTCAGGTCAAGTGTAACACAAGTCTAGAAGAGATATAAGTTTTCTTTCATTAAAAGAGAAAGGAGAACATTTTCATATAACACAAATTGCTCAGGCCCTTCACTAATTGAATTCTGCTATTAATATTAGGTTCATCTTGCCTTAGGGTACTCCCAGGGTTCCTTCCAATATAAATTACTTCAGACCATTACAGAACCTACTCCCAACCCAAGCAGCTGACTACAAAGGTCAACTTTTGGAACTTATCATTGGAAACTCCAGCAGAAGACACACAGCTTAAGATAAGGAAGTCTCAAGAACATGTGTAGGAAAGAAACCACTAAAACTGCAAGCTGTGCATAGGAAGTAAGCTGGAAACCAAGGACGACTGGTTTACACTTTCACAGGAGCAGTACTGAAGTCACTAGCAAAAGAAAAAAAGAATGGCTGATACTAACAATTTCTTCTAGCCCTACGGGCAGGAAGTTAAAATAGGACCAAACTTTTTGTTTCACTTGTGCTGCAGCAAAGCCCTTGTCAAGTAGCTACTTGACACATGTATCATCACACACTGAACAGCTGATCTGGGAACACAGTAGAGAACATCAACTTTTTAACCACAGCATAGAGTAATTAGTTTATTTTATGTCCTTTAATAGTATTCACAACTATAATCAATTTTACTCTTTACCTTCTGTGTGCATTCAGTGTCTTCCAAACACATGAAGCTTTTACTTCACAGAAAACACTTTTTCTGCTGTACTAAAGCTATAAAACCCATCAGGAATTGCTGTCTCAAAGACTTGTAAGTCAGATATATACAAGAAGTTGCAGATATTCTTCAAAGACACATTTAAAGAATGAATTCTTATGATTCTGTATAAAAGGTGATTGCTTTGTACTCTCTATACAGCAAAACACAGGAATATAAAGCAAACTACTGTTTCACCTACTCATACCAAATAACTCTTTTATTTAAGACACCATTTAATAAAATATAATTAGTCTTGAGAGACCTCCTCCACATTTTAAACAAATCTTACAATGCTCAGATATCCTTTTCCTAGGTCAACCACAATTTATTAAGGCATTTAACTGTCTTTGCAGCTGTTTCTGTGAGTCTTTTTTTCAATAGCAATCTTGTTAAACTAGTTTCAGCTAACACAGAAATACATTCGGGCAAACTTTATGCTCATGTTCTGCGCAAGTAACCAAACAGAGCAAGAGTATTCTATGCAGTATCAAAGCATGTTGGGAAGAATTTCAGGCGATCACTTTGGACTACGCAAAACACAACAGCACTTACTTCTCATAGACCAGTTCCTCATCGGTGCAGAAGTAGTGGGTGTTGACGGTACTTTTCGGTTTATTTCGTAAAGTAGCGAAGTACAGCCGATCTGAAAGGCAGAGCAGGGCACAGCGTGGGGCGGGGGAGCGGCCGCGGGGCGCGGGGCGCCAGAGACACCGCGGAGGCTTTTGGAGCTGCG